CCTGCAATTTCACATTTGAGTTCCTTCAGAACTCTTGGGTGAATACTTATTGCTGTTTAGTTTATCAATTTGTTCCAAAACCTCCTCTAATGACACCTCAATCTGGGACAGTTCCTCAGATTTGTCACCTAAAACTCTCAGGCTCAGGTTTGGGATTCTCCCTCACATCCTCAACTGTGAGGACAGACGGAAAGAATTCATTTAGTTTCTCTGCAATGGCCTTATCGTCCTCGAGTGCTCCTTTAGCATCTTGATTGTCAGCGGCCCCACTGGTTGTTTAGTAGGCTTTCTGCTTCTGATGTACTTACAAATTTTTTTGCTATTACTTTGACTCTTTGGCTAGCTGTTCTTCAAATTCTTTTTTTAACCTTCCTAATTATATTTTCACACTTCATTTGCCAGAGTTTATGCTCCTTTCTATTTTCCTCATTAGGATTTAACCTCCACTTTTTAAGAGATGCCTTTTTTCCTCTTACTGCTTCTTTTACTTTGTTGTTTAGCCATGGTGGCTCTTTTTTGGTTCTCTATGTTTTTTAATTTGGGGTATACATTTAAGTTGAGCCTATATTATGGTGTCTTTAAAAAGTTTCCATGCAGCTTGCAGGGATTTTATTTTTGGTGCTGTACATTTTAATGTCTGTTCATAGATACTAAGGTCAGAAGGGACCATTATGATCATCTAGTCCGACCTCCTGCACAACGCAGGCCACAGAATCTCACCCACCCACTCCTGCAAAAAACCTCTCACCTATGTCTGAGCTATTGAAGTCCTCAAATCGTGATTTAAAGACTTCAAGGAGCAGAGAATCCTCCAGCAAGTGACCCATGCCCCATTCTACAGAGGAAGGCAAAAAACCTTCAGCGCCTCTTCCAATCTGCCCTGGAAGAAAATTCCTTCCCGACCCCAAATATGGTGATCAGCTGAACCCTGAGCATGTGGGCAGGATTCACCAGCCAGATACCCAGGAAAGAATTTTCTGTAGTAACTCAGATCCCAACCCACCTAACATCCCATCACAGGCCATTGGGCCTATTTACCATGAATATTTAAAGATTAATTAATTACCAAAATCATGTTATCCCATCATACCGCCTGCTCCATAAACTTACCGAGTTTAATCTTAAAGCCAGATAGGTCTTTTGCCCCCATTGCTTCCCTTGGAAGGCTATTCCAAAAGTTCACTCTTCTGATGGTTAGAAATCTTCGTCTAATTTCAAGTCTAAACTTCCTAATGACCAGTTTATATCCATTTGTTCTTGAGTCCACATTGGTACTGAGCTTAAATAATTCCTCTCCCTCTGATATATTTATAGAGAGCAATCATATCCCTCCTCAACCTTCTTTTAGTTAGGCTAAACAAGCCAAGCTCCTTGAGTCTCCTTTGATAAGTCTCCTCCTGTTCCATTAACCTCCTCATTTTTGTGTAGTTTCCCTTTCTGAAATTAAATGCTACGGTGTCGGGCTGCCGTGGTGTTTTCCCCGCCATAGGGATGTTAAATTTAATTATGTTATGGTCACTATTACCAAGCAGTCCAGCTATATTCACCTCTTGGACCTGATCCTGTGCTCCACTTAGAACTAAATGAAGAATTGCCTCTCCTCTGGTGGGTTCCAGGACTAGCTGCTCCAAGAAGCAGTCATTTAAGGTGTCAAGAAATTTTATCTCTGCATCCCTACCTGAGGGGATATGTACCCAGTCAATATGGGGAATAGTTGAAATCCCCCATTATTACTGAGTTTGTTTTAATAGCCTCTCTAATCCCCCTGAGCATTTCACAGAAGGGATATAGTGGAACCGGAAACAGTTCAGAGAAATGCCATGAAGATGATCAAGGGTATGGAATGACTTCTATATGAGGACAGACTTTAAAGATTAGGGCTGTTCATCTTAGGAAAGAGATGACTAATGGGGGATATTATAGAGGTCTGATATCATGAATGGTGTACAAACAAGTTATGAGAGAAGTGTTATTTACCTTTTCCACCCCAATACAAAAGCCAGGGATCACCCACTGAGGCAGCAGGGTTAATACAAACAAGAGGAAATACTTTTTTAAAGAACATACATCTAACCTGTGGAACTCATTGCCATTGCGTGTTGTGATGGCCAAAGTGTAACTGGGTTCAAAAAAGAACTGCATAAGTGCAAGGAGGATAGGTCCATCAATGACTATTAGTCAAGATACCCAGGGATGCAACCCCATACCTCTGATTACCAGAAGCCAGGAGTGGGTGGATCACTCCATAACTGCTCTGTTCTGTACACTCCTCCTGAAGATCTGGTACAGGTCACTGTTGAAGACAAGATACTGGGCAAGATGGACCACGGTCTGACCCAGTAAGGCAGCTCTTCTTATTGCATCTCCAGTCTGCAGAATCTGAGCTTTCATTTCAATAAAAAGTTTCTAGCCTTCACGCAAAGTTAACCATCGCAATGGAACACAAATGTCAACGATGCAATGGCGTCTTCCTGAGTCTGTAGAGAGCATGAAACAACGGCTATGGGAGGCACGAACTCCCCCACCCCCTTTATCTTAACAGGATGCTAACTAAAGCCTACTGACAGCTTACATGTCATTAACTATTTCATTGCTGATCATTTTATCAGATGGAAAAGACATCAGAGTGAAACCCATGGTTGGGAACTGTTGGAGGAAAGGAAATGCAGAGGCAAAAATGGAGGGGAGACAGAAAAAAACAAAAGAAGGATGGAGAAGAGAGGAACATAAGGCAGAAATGGCAGGACTCCTATAGGTAAGAATGATTTTTCCATCAAAAGACAATGTGACTTTTTTCATTATTAGGTTACTTCCTACCTGTAGGCTATGTTCTATCCTGCATCTCCTTGCAAACATCTCATTGATGTCAGTGGGAGACCTGCTGTGGACTGAAGGTAGTACAGATTCCTGAACAGTGTGCCCCAAATTCAGAGTCAATTAAAAATGGAATTTTCCAAAAGTGAACTGCACACTCCTGCACAAGCCTGTGTGGATTTCTCTGTCAGGGCACCAGCATGTTTCTCTTGCTTCATTTTAGTCATTAATGAAGAGTTCAGAACTAACTGACAACTTAGATATATTGGCGTTTATTCAAACTAATAAGACAGACAGTTTAGGAAGCAGGAATTTGAAACTGATACTGAATACAATGCTAAATTACCAGTGCCAAGATATAATAGCAATTAGAGATGGAAAGAGACCCATTAGATCAGTGGTGGGCAACCTGCAGCCTGTCATGGTAATCCGTTGGTGGGTCGCAATACCTTTTGTTTACATTGACTGTCCACAGGCACGGATGCCCCAAGCTTCCAGTAGCCGCGGTTCGCCATTTCCCCCATCCTACCCGGGTATTTGTAGACAGTTTGTCCCTACATTAGCGGTTACTTAGACAAGCTATAATTGCACTTTGCTGATCTTTCCACATAAATCAATACCTCTGGATGTTCCAACGTGCTTCTCATTGCACCTTGGATTAGGGGCTTATTTCTTCTTCTACAAAGAAGTTCTAGATTTAAGGTTTACCAGTTCTACTGATGTTTATATTTCAGAGAGTATTCGTTCCATTTCACATGCCTTCTGAATTGTGGTTTCTTACAGAACATTCTGACACCATTTCAAACAATTCTAGATCGGTTGTGAACTTTACAAATCACAAGTTTGAGGGTTTTTTTGGTGTGTGAATACTTTTTTTTTTTTTGGAAGGATTTTCTTATATTTGTTATGGAGTCAATGCCTATCACTGATCAAGGCCATTTATTGTTCAAAGTGCTCTAACCCAAGATAAAAGGGAACCCATGTTCAAGGTTGGCAGGTGCAAAATTTAGAACCCTGTTAAAGTTTTGACATATCTACACATCTTGTGGATGTAGACAAAAGTAAGGTGTTCACCCTTAAATCAAGGGCTGCAACGGTCCTAAGAGAAACTGGGTTTGTCCTCCTTTGCCCCATTCCCACCCTCCTGACTCTTCTTCAATCCCACACCTCTCCAGTTGCGAGCTCTGGGGGTCGGAGCCACATCTGCCTTCTTCAAAGCACTATAAAAGGATACATGTCCATGACTGGCTCGGTCATGATCACTTCTTTCTTCCTCCTCACCCTTAAAGACCCCGTCTGTGAGACCAGGGAGGAGACTTGCATTTACCTATAGGTTTCGTTTTTGGAACAGTTAGGAAGGATGGAGAAAGGCCAAACCAATTATGCCAAGGCAGACCCGATATCTGGATTCTCAGAAGAGAAGGTTCCTCTAGGAGTTTTGGGCTTTGATTTTCTTGAACAATGCAATGAAATGTCAAATGGACAATTATGGAAATTCAAAATCCTGTAATCTGTGTTTTCACATAGAGTTCAAATTTACAGGTTTCTTCCCAGTTAATAATTGGGTGACCATCATATGTAAAAACCACACAGTATTGTTCTGAACGCTGATCATGGTAATATGTTATCTGACCTGCTGCATCCTGTCTCATACTTCCCTTTATGACTTTCAGTGTCTCACTTAACTACAATAGAGCATTGATATCCCCAAAGGGGGACTTGGCTCCTTGGTGACTTCATCCATCCTGTTGTGCAGTACTGATGGGGCTGTTAAACGCCCTCCTCTTCATTCCAATTTGTTTAATTGGCTCCTCCAGATACACTAATGTCATTGCTTAGCCAGGGTTGGATCCTGCAAGTACAGAGTGACCACTACTATCACCGAAGTCAATGGGAGCGGAGGCCTTCAGCAGATTGCAGAATGAGACTTCCAGCGGGTGCTGAGAGCAGAGTGCTGTTACAGGAGACACTTACCTGTCTTTGGAAGCAGAGTGTCACCTGCACGGTCAACTCTTAAGCTGGAATAGCCTCTCTAGTGGAATTATTTCTGAAGTCAATGAAGCATCAGTACCATAAAAGCTCACCCAATACTTTTCCAAAGAAATTTTATTTGAAGATCAAACAAGTGAAATTTTCTAAATAGAAACCAGGTCTCAGGCTTTTAAATATGCTTTTTATTAACTTACCATGACAGTGCAGTCCTCAGAACCACTGGCAATGACTTGATCATTATGGGGACTCCAGTCTATGTCAAGCACAGGCCCTGTGTGACCACATACTGTTGGGTATGACTTGTCAATTCTACCTGTCTAAAGAAAGAAAGAGGGAGAGCTGTAATGTGCAGACCAAACCAGGCAACACACAGCATTTCACAGCGTAAAAGAACATTTCCCACACTCTACTCCACCATCTCCTCCAAACAACAATTTCATAAGCCTTAATTTCGTGTGTTTATGACTCTCATGCAGCACTGCCCCAAACTCATCAATATCCTGACAATTTCTGACTTTGAGACATGTACATACACAGACCTGCAGCAAACCTGGGGGCTTTCTTCTCTCAGCAATGTGTCTGCTTTGCCAGCCCAGCTCCAATGGGTGTTACTGGGACATACTTCTGGCAAAAGAAGTTAGACCCTCAAGTTCTCCCGACTGTGTGGGATTATGGAGTGGTGGCACCTGCTTAGTTGTGTCCTCCACATAGCAAGGAGAATATAAAAAGGTTCTTATTTTGCCACCCTAATTTTTTTTTGTGGAGACTGGCAACAGTTACAGATACCCGAGATAAGAGTTATATCAAAGGGGCGTTCTGGACACTGGAACTTCTTCACAGCTTAACTGTTGTCACCTTTCATGAATTTAGTTTTTGTGGAAAACACATGACAGCTGTGCAGAGTGTATCCCTCTATTCCCAGAAAAGAAAAAAGTCACCCATGCAGGCTTCCCATAGATACACCAACCTACCCACCAGGAGACATCTTTGCCTTCTACTGGAAGGAGTTTGTCTACGGTGAGAGTTCTGTCTGCATAGCCCATTCAATCCTTGCCCAAACTGCTGACTGACAAGACCATCAATTAGTGCCATTTGTGATGTGGATCTCTCTGCACTAGGAACTGGACGGGGACCAAGAGAGTGACAAGATTCTCTATAAAAACAATTTCCACACTTATTTGCAACAAAAATTATTCACATTTCTATCAAGAGGTTAGCAAATCTCTAGAGCACTTGCCTAAATCAAGCCAATTGGAAGGATAAATCTTACAAGAAAATTAGCTACTGCCTGGTGTTCATCTGAGTTTGAGAAGACAGAATTCTAGTAATTTATAGTTCTTTCAATTACTCAAATTGTTCACTGGTACTACAATAAAAGGACTCTGGCAGCTTCGACATCGCTCTATTGTCTGATAATCTTTTATTACCTACTATTGGTGCAAAACACTTGAGCTTGCTGTAAGTGAAAATTAAAAAAGGAACATTTTATATTAAGTCATTCGCACGGTTTCTTCTGTTCCTTTTGGTCTTTCACACAAAAACAAGTAAATCAATATTTTTTCAGATAGGGAAATGTGACTAAAAACTGTAAAGATTGGAAGGTTTTAGAGTAGTAGCCGTGTTAGTCTGTATTCGCAAAAAGAACAGGAATACTTGTGGCACCTTAGAGACTAACTAATTTATTTGAGCATGAGCTTTTGTGAGCTACATGAAGTGAGCTGTAGCTCACGAAAGCTTATGCTCAAATAAATTGGAAAGACTGGAAGGAGGATTTGGGCAGGTGCAGTACCTGAAATTGTCTTCAACTCATTCTTTAAAACTGACTAGATTTCAAGCAGACCATGTCCTTTCCTTTTGCAAAGTTATAACCTATAAGAAGGGGTTCAGCGAAGTTCCTGACCGGATTCTAGTTTCTTTACACATAAAGAGCTGCAATCTAATCTCAATTCTACTGTGTGGTGGTTTCCTGACCCTGGGGCGCGAGCTGCCTTCACATGACTGTTAGTAATTCCCATGGAGATGATTATTCAATTCCAAGTTCTCTACATAGAAGGATTTACAAAGGGGCTGGACATTAGCTTTCAAGTACTATTGACATTAAGATGTATTTGTCAAGAATAAAACAAGATGTAGATCCTAAGGGAATACAAGTCAACGCAGTTATAAAAACAAGGCGCAACCATTTCCTAAAAACCTAAATTCAGGCTCAACAAACAATGGTGTCCTTGTCTCAATTCCTCAGTTGCTTCTGAAACCTTTTAAAATTAAAATGTTGAAGACTGAAACAATACAAATAAACCAGAAACTCTCAAATTGAGAGCTAGAATCTACTTATGCCTTTTTGCATGCAACAAGGTAAAACGTATAAACAGGTTACAACAAACTGATGTATGAAGTCACCACATTTTAATATATCAACTTTTAAAAAAAAACAGTCTAACATTTCAAGACTGAGCATCTTTTAAAAGACACGCCACAAATTAAATCCAAACTAAAGAGCTAAATCAAAAGGAATAGATGGTCATGTAAGGTACTGTCCGCAAATGTAAATAAATAAATGGCTATTCCTAGGTAAGGCTTTTAATTTTCTTAGCAAAAGAGGGGGCTATAATGATTAGTTGCAGACTGAGAAAAGTGAGCACTTGCCAGTCTAGATTTGGGTTTTTAACAATCATCATCAAGATTCTTATTGGGAGAAAAATATCAGTTTGAACAAATGAATTAAACTAGAAAATTTTTCCTGTCTGCATGATCAAGATAAAGCCTGAACACCAAGTCTGCAAGCAAACAGGAGACTGTGTTACAAGCTTATCCTCCTAAATAACTGTACTTCATGCTTCTCATTTTCTAAAATGCAGCTCATTTTAAAACTAGCTATCTTGCAGTACCATTAGCTCAATAAGCTGTTGTACTCTGAAATGACATTAAAAAGGACATGATTGGTCTCCATGTTTATCGTCTATCAGTGACTTGTGAATTAAATGTACTCTATTTACAAATAAAGATTTTTTTTTATACCCAGCCTTGCAAACCACCTGAGCTCTGAGAATCAAAATGGATTCTTTCTTTTTTGGCTACTGATAGCCACAACAGAACTGGGAGCCAAAATTGGCCACTGATTCCTGCCAAACTCCACTGTCTTCACATTATCAGCTCAGCAACACCTGTGCAAACCCATGGTCTTCAGTGAGGATTAACACATGGAACTGACTGGTTCTGTAACTGGAACCCCGGAAACAATTCTGTTCAGAACGCACAAGGAGGGGAAAATAAATCCATCTTAACCATGCTGCAGCTAAGAGAATGTAACAAATAAATTGTAGCAAAACTCATTCTTGTCACTTAAGTGACTAGATATAACCCAGAACACAGGGGAGCAGCTGTTCTTGGTAAGTGTGATGCCCCACATGGTGACAAGTGATTAAAGAGCTACAGTGAGCCAGGCTGACTCCACCCCTCCAGCCCTGTCAATCATGCAATGGGTGCAAGAGTGTTTAAAAGTAGGAAGTTCAAGTCAGTTGGCAGGCGGCTCTGGAAGAGCATGGACATTAGCTCTACAGCTCCCAAGAGGAATCCCTGAAGAGCTTCAGGGAAACTGCCCTCAAGAAGGGTACTCACCAGTGCCATGCCCCTACAAGGAGGCAGCAGACTCCAGTCTACCAGCCACGCAGGTTAGCCCCAGCAAGCCCCCACTGCATTTGGTACTCCAGCTGTCCCTGGGGGTAGTGAATCTGGGGCTCCACTGAAAGGATGTGGGGAGTGGGAGCCAGCAGCCCCCGTCCCTTTAAAATGCAGACAGACTCTCTGGTATAGTTTAGTATTGATAAGACAGACCACTGTTCATACGGACCGTGGCACCCCATTGACTTTGCAGAGCTTAGCCACCCAGAGGCACCCGTCAGCAACAGTAAGAAAGTGGTATTTTTAGTCTCTTTTCAGAGCAGAGCTGCACTTTAAGTGTTCAAACTGAGAGGAGAAAATAACTGAGTTATACAGTGAAGAGGTCAGTCAAAAGTCTGCAGAAATGTTCCTTTGTTACAGGTGAACAGTCATTTCTCTCTATGATTTATAATGCATACCCCTTTCCTTTACGGAAGCCATCAGGGTGATTATTACTATAGCAGAAACACTTATCACCTCAAGCAGGAGCATAAAGATGGAAAAAGAGGCGACTAGGAAGTAACAAATAAAGGCCATTAGCCACAAACTGGCGGGGAGAAATGTTTATCTATTAACAAGTTTGGAGGAAGATGCTGGGAGAGCTACACGGCAAGTGATGTGCAGTGTATTTATTTACAAAAGTGCAGGTGACCAGCATTCCCCCAGTGCAAGCAAGTGACTGCGTACCATGCCACCCACATACATAACACAGGATCACAGGCTCCACACTACGCAGTTACATTAGATGTTCTAGCAGACACAAAAGGAAAAACTTATCTCAGCAGTACAAACGGCCATAGATCACTGATTTTTACATTTAGGGAGAAGACCCTGCTGCTGCCATGAATAACTGAGCCATTACTAGACTGAAAGGGTAATACAGTCACTGACTCTGGCCCACACAGAATGCTCTCCCAAAAGCACAAATAAAAATAACTAAGCAAGACAATGTAAATGGACATAATGGTTGACTGAATGAAATACTGCCCTGGTGTCTAACAGTACGGTAAAGATGAAAGAAGAGGTCTGAACATCTGTGGAGGAGCTACTGAACTGTGGTCAGGAACAAGAACAGCCGGTCTTAAAAAACAGCACACAGGAAACCAGGAGATTCTCCTAAAACCCTAGCGAAAGAGGAAGAGCCGTGCTCACAGACACGTTCTCTTTAGGGTTACATTTTTAAAAATATTTTAGATTTGAAAGGATTACCCTCAAGAACGGAATCAGCAGCGCTGTCAAAAGCCAAAATTCATGTAACCCCTTCAGAGCTAGACCTTCAACACCTCCTTTATAGCTACAAGACACTGGACAGAGGCGGGCAGGTCACAAAAGCTAAGCAGGAACAAACACTGTTACTGCTCGACAGGAGCCTTCAAAATAAAAAACACAGGAACTGCCATATTTTATTTTATTACTCAACACTGAGCCAGTGCCCCAGCATGGTTCAGGGTGGGCAGGAAAGGGGCCACCTTTCAGGTGAGAGCCTGACTGAGATTTGGGACCACTGGGCACTATTCACAAGGATAGGGGCTTTAGAACTGATCCAGGCTACCAAGGTTAACCTTGTTAGGAGTCAGTACTTTCCCTCTACTTTCAACTGGATATTGAACCTTGGCTGCATCTCTAAACCAGTTTTGTAAGATTGCTGGTGCAAAAT